TAATATAACTTTTACTTCTTCAGAAAAGATTTGATGTAAGGTTAAATTATGACCACAATATCACCGGAAAATTTTCACAAACTAACTACCATAAAACCCAACCACAACTTCAAATAATGGTGTGATACTTTAACACAAATCCATAAAATATGCTGGTAACCACCTATAGAATAAGATTCACCAGAGGATAATTTTAATGCTTTCATACTAAGAGAAGCAAATCAGAGAAATGGAAATCTATGAATAAAATCCAAAGAAGGCATATGTCCAAACAACACATGAACAACAAATACTTTTCATAACAAGATCCAAAGTTTCAGCAATCTTATGGCAGAGTGGCTTTTCAGTAGTGCTTATAGCATGATAGTGTGGATGTCATAACAGCACAGCCCCACAATACACAAGACCTCCAGTTGCCTCTCACTGCTGCATGCCTTTCCACTAGAGCCATGCAACTAGAAGAGGGTACTTCCAGGAGATATCCAGATTATTATACAATTAGCAAGCAAACGGGAGTGCAGAAGAAGATGTTCAGCACTTTCAATTAATTCTTACAAAAAATGCACCAGTTTGGGAATAAGTACATAAAAAAAGGTCTTCCATTAAACAAATAGGTAAAGCTTGTGTTGTCCCAACTACCATAGTAAACAATTAGAATCCTGACTTTACACTAAACAATGCCCAAATCTGGATGCCATTTCGCATTGAACAAACAAACTCAGGCAAATCATATTCTATCCATAAACATGATGTTCCAGAAGAGAAATTCCAAGCAACATGACAAACAGTGCAGTATTACTAATATGTCCGTATTAAACATGGTATTAGTTAATCCTGAACGACCAGTTTTACTGGGAATAAATCAATCATATAAAACATTTTGTGAATAACATCGAGTTATTCCAAATATTCAAAGATATGTCTTTATTTAAGCCTGGATGCCTTTTGCTTTCCCACCACCAGAAAAATGTTGAATTATGGTTTATAAGAATAAATTTCAATTACTGATGGTAAATTTAAAAGCAGTGATTCCCATTTCAAGGATCTATATTCATGCCCTCAAGGCTTCAACAACAGGAAATTATGAACATAAATTTTGACATTCAAGACATAGTTAATATACAGCCCTTTTAAAAGGTTTACACCCTTTTAAAAGGTTTACTCTTTCTTAAGCTGTATGTACGTTCTAATAAAGGATGATATTTTAATACTTCTCGTCAACAGATCTCCCGGTTAACCATCTTTTTGTTTATCAAGAAATGGAATGCAAAACATGGAGTGCAAAAGCCCTGAAATAACATATTGACTGTCTTCAAAATCATGCATTGTCAGCAACAAAGTCACAAGATTTCCAGAAAGATAAAAATCTTGAAGCAGATTGTTGGCTTCTAGTAGATTACAGTTGCTTTTTCAATTATATTTACCTCCATAAACCCAAAAGATTAAATAAATAAATGGATAAATTTTGGAACTATCTCTGTAACAACACTTATTAATTACCAAACTCAAAGCACGTTAAACTAGAAATTCATTTGCAAGAGAACATTCTTACTATTAGAATTATCAATATCGAATTCTCAAATGGTACATCCCAAATTCAGCATTTACAAACCTGGCCTATGCTTTAATTAACTTGCAATCAGAAAACAGATAAAATGTCTTTTTACAAAGTTGCAGATCATCCCCTATCATTCTGCCAGTATGTAACATATGAATATTGCTAGGAGAAGAAAGATACCTGAGAACCGGAACCAATACATGGGTCACTTCCCCTCAAGCCATCTACAAGCTCAGTATATAGTTCTTCCTTAGGAGTAGGAGCAGGCGCACCATAATAAGAGAATTCCACAACATCTACATCACACCATACACCTCCTGGGCCCTGCTTCAAATGATAAAAACGCATTTTAACATCACACACAAAACAAGGTCAGCCACAAAGAAATACTATTAGAGAATAAGTTTGAAATATCAACATCTAAGTTTGTTCGTTTCTCACCTCAAGAGCAGCTGGTAGACACTGGACAGGGCTAAGCCATTGCCTGTGAACTTTCCGAGCAACAAAGACAAGAATAGCTGGTATATCCGTCAAAACACCCCTTCGAATGCGAAACCCAACTGCCGTCCCAAGACTAAACCGACGTAAGATTTTGCTATGGAACGCTCTAATAGTCATCAGTTCAAGCAATGTGGTAGCTTGCTGCCCTGTTGGCAACCGTCCATGAATTTCAGGGAGAACTCCTTTTTGGAGGTTTCCAAAATAATTAACCCTATCTTCTGCTGAATCGTGTAATCGACTTAATGTAGGCCAGGAGAAGTAGGCTGCATTGCTCTCAGAATGCTGACCAGATGATGCAAAAGGTTGAAGCGGTGATGGACTCGATGAAGGCAGATTAGGAATATTGCAGTAGTTTCTTTCCAAATCTAAAACAGATTCATCAGATTGGGATGATCCTGAGTGCTGAAATCTTAAATCCAATCTGGCCTTGTCCATCTCTCAGCCCTCCTACATGTTATTAATTTAATTGCTATTAAAATTTCAACTTAATAAAAATTTCCAATTCTGTAATACAAACCAGAACATCAACATATTATTACTTTCATACATCATAAGCATCATTAGTGGGACCAAGAAAACCTTGGAAGCAACTCCAAAGTTTTTTAATAGAAAAATGAGCAATAGATTGAAGATGAAAACCACAAGCCAATAACATAGAAATGAACACTTGATTACACAATCAAAACTAGATAAAAGCCACACATCAGACAAGGAAGAATCATGATTACAGAACAATGATTAAATAAAAACTAATAAGATAACATACAAAGTGTCAGAGAAGCATGTCCATAAAATACCAGTAAAACAAATACTATCTAATTCAAAAAGCCTAAAAAAAGACATATCTACTAGGCTCAAAACTCGAACAGCAAAGAAGCAAGTTGTTTCTCCAGAGAAGTGAAAGAATAAAAGAAATGAAGTAAATGAAAAACTTTAAGACAAAAAAGCATGGCAAAGACAGAAGAACAATAGCAGCTTCACTGTGGTGTTTGTAAAAGACAGATGGAACAGCTGAGAAGCCGAAAAGATAGAGCAAAGAAAATAAAGCAAACCAAGTACATACATACTCAATCTAGAATGTTGAAAAGTGCTTCAAAATAATAAGAAGCCAAAAACTTGAAATGGGAACTTAAAAACAGTCGAAAGAGACCAAACCCAGAAAGCCAAAACACAATAAATGAACAGAGCAAGCAAAACCCAGATAGCAAATTGACAGAATAAGCAAAACCCAGATATAAAAAAAAAAAGAATAAAAATACAATCTTTGGTACAAACTCACCGATCAGCAATGGTGGAGGTGTGACGGAAGACTCAAAATGAAAAGTAATGAAGAGTTTCATTCATTCATTCATTGATGCCCTATTACACAATCAGTGTGTAAACTGAAAGATGATGATACAAGTAAGACTGCCAGCAACTTTGCATAGAGAAAGAGAAAGAGAAAGAGAAAGAGATTATAATTAGAAAGTGAAAGCTAATAAATTTTCTAATCTGGTGAAAGAGAAAGACAGAGAGAGAGTGAGAAAAAGGATACTAAATATCTGCGGTTGGAGTGTTGTTTGTGTTTGTATTATTAATCAAATAATTTTATTTTATATTCTTTTGCTGTGCAAAAACTATTTTTTTCTTTTCTTTTTGAGTTTTGGTTGATCAAAATTATATGGTGGAAATGAGAACAAGTGCAGAAAGAAAGGAGTGAGAATGGAGGAGAAGAAATAATTTTCTTGGATCCCACTAATATTTTTAATTTGGTGGCGAAATTAGGGACCCATCCATATTTGCTCCCCAAAAGTAGCACACTCTCTACCCAAATAATTCAATTCCCACCTATACATTTACAAATAACTAAGTGTATTGTATGATTTATGTGTTGCTCTGTTTTATTTTTGTTTTTTGTAATTTTATTAAATAGATATACAATCGATATTGATGCATTCGTTTATTATAAGTTATTAAATACCATTGCCACTTGTTTCTTTTAATGGGTTTTATCTCAACAGTGAAATTTCTTTCTCTCTCTCTCATCTCATGCATGACATCTATTATTTATTTTGTTTGCTAAAGAGATTTGCCTTTGTGTAAGTAGAAGTAAAATAGATTTCAGTCTTTTTCTCTCTCTCTTTCTCTCACATCTCAAGCTCAACAATGACATATTATCCCTTACATTATCTTCCACCTTATGTCACTCACATTATCTTCAATCATCATCAGTAGACTCTTTTTAATATTATAATATCATCAAGCTATCTTATTCAATATACTGCTCACACCTTAATAATATGTTTCCAATAATTCTGTAATAGTCATCACCACGCCAATACAATGATTGTTATGTTTAGCAACAAACTCTCTACAAATTACTTCAAAACTAAATGAATCGAATGAAAATATTTTAAAATTTACAATTCATACGAAACCCTTCTTGTAAAAGACTACATTAATTAGTAAACACCTACTGTTTTTGTTGTGTATGTTTGTGATTATACTTTATTGGGATGGTCTCCTTAGGCATTATTAGATTGTGAATAAGAAAGGAAGAACAAAGTCACAAAGTTCAAAGTCATGCTTTTGTTAAAAAAAAAAAAAAAAGTTCAACTATGCAATTATTGGAAGAGAATATCAAACAAAGGGGTTCCACCACAAACAAGATCTTTTCTTTAAAAGAGAAATGCAAAAATTGGGAAAGTTAGCACTCATCTAAGTGTTGATGGATATATAATTATATTGTAAGAGAATGATCAAATATAAAAGATAAAACATTGTGTTATTAATGGACTAATTCATATGATCCCATCATTGAAATCAAGACGGTTTTTTCCGAATTTAATCAAACCTCAACTAAATCCTCTCAAACATAATATTTTTAAATAATACTACGAATTTTACAAATATTTATATATATTTGTTTTTTCATTTATTTTTTATACAAAAAAAAACTTTATTTGTACACCTAGCTTATATTTTTTGTCGGGCCGTAAAAAAGAAGTTGAATTATGCAATTATTGGAAAGATGTTAAAAATAAATGGGTTCCACTTCCACCTCTTTGAAAGGTTTTAATTATTTATGCCATATACTTTTTTAAAATTGAAAATATCTTTCAGACGAAGAGACAATTTCGTTTTATTTCATCATACAAAAGTCAAGTAAAGCCACTTAGCCTCAAATATTGACTAGTAATTCATCAATCAATGATTTTAATGATTTATATGATGATGATGATGATGATCCATTCTCCATCAAACTTCTCCTACTCTTCTCTTGCATTTCCTTCACTTTTCTCCTCACTTCACTATCACCGTCCATCAAACTTCCCAATCCTTTTTCCAATTCTTCCGCCGACACTAGATCACTACCTTCCCTGTAATCCAATCTAATCTCAACCGCTAATCCCAATTCCTTTACCAATTCGAATGCGTTCATTTGTTGCTCAGCATACACTGGCCACGTGGCGATCGGTACACCATACCATATACTTTCTAGTATCGAATTCCACCCGCAATGTGATACAAACCCCCCAATCGCCTTGTGGGACAAAATTGTCACTTGTGGTACCCATCCGCACACCAGTCCCATCCCAGCCGTTCGATTTAAGAACCCATCCGGCAGTATTCTTTCCAGATTCGTGTAATCATCCGGGAGGTGTATTGTGCTTTTGGGTGCTTCGCGGATTGCCCATAAAAACCGAAATCTTGCCCGATCCAATCCAATCGCAATTTCTTTCAACTGGGCTAACTTCAGGCTCCCCATACTTCCAAAGCACAAAAATACAACCGATGACGGAGGTTGATTATCCAGCCATTTCATGATATTTTCTTGATTGGGTCGGTCTGGATGCCATTCTGCCGGACCAGCAAGGTCCAGAACCGGTCCAATCGGGTAAACCGGTGGTAATCCTCTTATAGAAACCGAGTCAATTGCATAAGGCTCGAGTTCACGAAATGTATTGACAACTATACCCTTGGCTTCCATATACCTTCGCCCATGATACAAATACCAAAAATACCCATCCTTTTTCCTTTTCAGACTTGTTGTTGGTAAGATAAGAGGAGGCAATGGATTGACAAAACTCGGAATAACCAACTCAGTCGTTGAGTCTTTAGGAACAATCAACTCAGTATCCGAGTCAACAAATTCAGTTGCGAGTTGCTTGTCTAGGGTTGGAAAATGAAGCATGAACCCTAAAAAACTCGCAGGAGAAGCGAAGTAAATATAACAAGGAATACCCAATTCATTAGCAACATCAATCATAGAGGTACAAAACATGTCGACAAAGAACCCAGCAACCGAGTCAGACTCAGTTGTCATGATCTTTTCGATTGCATGCTTCACGTGGAGTTTATGCTTCTCTATGTAAACACACAGGTACCCTAAAGAAGACTGGTATTCATCGGGTGAAAGAGGGCCCACGGGCGGGAGATGAAGGAAATTGACGTCGTGAAGATGACGATCAGCGGCGAGGGAGGCGCCACGTGAGTTGATGTAAGCGTTGACAATGGGTCGTTCAGGAACGGTGATGGTGAGAATGGTGGCAGTAAACTGAGGGTGGTGTTGGGTTACAAGTTGAGCAAACTCAACAAGTGGAACAAGATTGCCTATTCCAGGAGTGGAGATAAAGAACAGATGAAGTTTCTTCATTGATTTGTTTTATTAAATGAGAACGATAAGTTGGTTTGGGTTATTGAGATGAGCTTATTTTATCTTTTTGGGGGAGAGACGTGAGGTATAAAATGACTACTAACTTTTGGATTCTTACGCAAACATAAAATAATGCAAACATAAAATAATACTGTAACTTTTGAATTCTTTAGCAAACATAAAATAATTCATTCTGAAATGATTCTATTTTGTTATATATATATATAAAAAATGTGACACAGACAAGTGAATTTGATGAGATTAGGTGGTGATGAACAATAATTTAATTAGGTTGTTTATATAATTTGATTGGAATTTTTGAACACCGACATACATTAATATTTAATAATACATAAAAAATAAGTAGAAGTAGGAAATTAAGAATAATTTAATAAAATATTTATTTAATTAATCTTCAATTTTGATAATTGATGACGATAGAATGGATTTCATAGCCATGTGTTTGTTTATGTATACTTAACCTCAGCGTTGGTTTAACTTAATTGCCTCTTCATTGAATCTATTGGTCAAGTTGTTGATGTTATTTATATTGTTAAAGGTTTAATATAATTATATTGAATTACCTGTTTGATAAAATTGTGATTACTTGTTAAAAAAAAAGTAATTTTACTTTAAAAGAATTTTGTTTTAAATAGAAATTTAATTACAACGCTATAGAATTAAACCCGGTTTATGGTCAAATTTGATTCGAATTGAATCAATATTTTGTTTAATCAATTTATTGGATCTTTGAACAGAGCCCGTCGATGCAAGGGGAAGCGACGATGGGCGGGTGCGAGAGGCTGCAGAAGGCGCTCTGCGAGTGCCATAAGCGTGTTGGATCATCATCTCGGACGCGCGATTCGGCGTGTCGGCACCTGAACCGTGCGCTGGTGCAGTGCCTGGTGTCGGAGGCGTGCCCGGAGGAGTCNACTTAATTGCCTCTTCATTGAATCTATTGGTCAAGTTGTTGATGTTATTTATATTGTTAAAGGTTTAATATAATTATATTGAATTACCTGTTTGATAAAATTGTGATTATTTGTTAAAAAAACAAGTAATTTTACTTTAAAAGAATTTTGTTTTAAATAGAAATTTAATTACAACGCTATAGAATTAAACCCGGTTTATGGTAAAATTTGATTCGAATTGAATCAATATTTTGTTTAATCAATTTATTGGATCTTTGAACAGAGCCCGTCGATGCAAGGGGAAGCGACGATGGGCGGGTGCGAGAGGCTGCAGAAGGCGCTCTGCGAGTGCCATAAGCGTGTTGGATCATCATCTCGGACGCGCGATTCGGCGTGTCGGCACCTGAACCGTGCGCTGGTGCAGTGCCTGGTGTCGGAGGCGTGCCCGGAGGAGTCGGAGGCGGTGCGAAGCTTGTGTGCGAGCGGTGGAACCGCACTCAAACGATCTCAGTGCCAGCAAGCCCAGCTCTCTCTCTCTGTCTGTATCTCTTCTCATACCTCCTAACAAATTACCCTTTTGTCCAACAAAGTCATTGTAATCTTTAATTAAACTGTTTAAATAATATTTTTATCAATATCATGTGCCATATTTTTCAAATTCTCAACTGGGTTGTCTTGTGTTTGTTCATTCCTGTTATTTTATGGAAAATTCAGTGTAATAAAACTGACTTCATATCAATAAATATGGTTGACAGAATGCTGCAATTCAAGTAGAAAACCTCTCTCTGTGATGAGGAGTAGAGTAGTCAATGTTAGGGCCAACAGGAATAATTCCCAATGGATCCATGGAAGGATGGCTTCCGTAATAATGCCTCTTAATGTGTTCCATGTTCACAGTGCCGCTCATCCCGGGGATTTGGAAAACGTCTTTGGTGTAATTGAACAGATTCGGGTACTCTCGGATCAGCTTCTTGTTGCACTTTAAGTGAACCGCATAAACCTATAGTATAAACTTGAACACTGTTATGTTTATGGATATTATATCCAGCACATTTACAGAGTCTCGACGGTACATGCAGAGAAAGGCGAGTGTTCATACCTCATCAAATCTTATTAGAGTGACAAACAAGCGGATGTCGGACTCAGACAGAGAGTTTCCACATATATATCGTTGCTTATCAAGAATCTCCTCGCATTTGTCCAAGGTATCATACAAGTTTTTCACAGCCTGCAAGAGGAAGATTAACACTAGTTCATCAGATAGCACAAGCATAATTTGTTCTTTAAAGATGGAAATAGTAGAAGCAATACCTCCTCATAAGGGCCTTGCTTCTTAGCAAAGCCACATTTATAAACACCGTTGTTTATTCCAGCATATATCCATTGATTAACCTCATCAATATGGGATTGCAAATGAAGAGGATAAAGGTCCAGAGCTGCATTCTCTGCTATATCATTGAATTCAGAATTAAACATCCGGATTATCTCTGAACTCTCATTGTTCACAATTGTTTTGAGTTTTTGATCCCATAGAACCTGACAAAAAAAAGGAATGCATCAGTTAATTTGTGAGATTCAAACATGTGAGCCACTTTAAATGAATGTTATATACAGGAACTGAGTATTTTCCACTGTAATTTTTGCTTGCAATCTCATATAGTTCCCTTATGCTTCTTGCTCCATTCAAAGGGTCAGGCTCCATTCAAAGGGTCAGGCTCGGCTCCAGGTTCTTTGGTTTCTGAAACTGGAAATACCCATCCAATATGCTCATCATTCTTGCTTGTTCTTTCCCATTTGGATTTGACTACCTTGCAATAGATGGAAAAATATGAGAACTGACAGTTCAAAACAACATAACTATTTTTGACAGTCAAAATATTTACTGTGAAAGAGATTGCTCTGCCAAGGCCTTTGATTTTCAAGATTGAAAGACACCTGCACGCCCATGGACAACCATATGCAATGTACAGATGATATCTTCCAGATTCTGCAGGGAAAGGAGTATTTGGATCTCTTGAAATAACATTACGGAATGTTGAGGGAGATCTGGCAAAAGCACCAGACTCAGAAATCTCTTCTATTGAGGACCGAGCCATTCGAATAGTCTGCTGAAGATTAATTGCAGAATTAGTATATCTTCTTACTATCACTAGATCATGATTACCAGAAAAAAAAATCACACTTTTAGCCACTTTAGCAATTTCTAACCATCAGTGCCAGAAAGTCTAGCAGACAAACCAGTAGGTAATATTAGGATACAAACAGACCATAAGATAATTACATTAATTAAAATAAACAAAAGAAAACTTAACTCACAGAAGGTTAGGAGAGACTTCAAGTGAGTCATCAGGGGAGCAAAGAATCACAAGGGTGAAATACAGAAATTTATTTAGTAAGCTAGGTAAGTGTATCTAGTTATGACAGAGTTTCATGGAGGTCATATAATCAATCATATGGAGAAGAAACTTTGCATTCCAGCTTGAACACCTTACTATTGTACTTATACACCTTACTATTGTACTTATACACCTTATAATTGTACTTATACAAGTATGAAACTATTCCTACATTCCCTCATATCTGTCAACCGTTCCTCAGAAAGACACTGCTTGTAATTCAAACATCAATTTTTTACGGCTTCTGAGAGCTAATAGCCTACTGATGAGTACCTCTACATTTGTGGCAGTTGCCTAACTACTATTTAGAAGAGTTAGAAACTAGAGGCACATTAACAAGCACCTCATCAAATGAGATCTACAATATGCATATAATAGGGAAACACCAGCAGATTCTCTTCAGAAATAGCATCAAAAACTATCATTTTGAGTAATTAACATATAACTTCTCCATTTTTAAATATAAATATCCATGTGCAGCCACAGAGTATTCAGTCAACGATCACTAAATACACGTATTTAGATATTTGAACTCAACTAAGAGAAACCCAGCAGACAATTAAGAGCCAAAACCACTAAGCAAAACAACAAACAATCAATTGCAAAGAGAACATTAGAAATCTATCAGGATTCTAACAAGGGAGAGCATGATAGATCAATTAAAAGAGAACCCACCAAAGATTATGATAAATATTGAGAATACAAAGGAACCCAGATACCAACTAAGAAAGTGTAATGAAATTCACCTTGAAAGGATATTGCAAGTGAGTTGCGAAGCTTCTTTTTGGAGTCGAATGAGAGTTGTGTATGTTTTGTGAAGTGAAAACATTAGAGATCCTTTTACTATTATGTTAAGCTGCTTCAGTTCAATTTATGTATCTCCCATTTTAGGGTCCTATTATAGCCTTACCTACTTTTGGTACCATATTTTGATTGCATAACGAACTTATATTCATTACTACATTCTAGATATATTAATAACTAAAAAATTAGGGTAATTAACTACATATATTGATAACTAAAAACTTTTCTTTGAAAAATACCTACTCTCAATAATCCTCACAAATAACATCTATCAATTAGTGCCATATTTTGAATGTAAAAATGGCCAAAATCTGTAGTGTTAAGAGCGCTATGAGTAGGAGGTATGTGTGTCATTCAATAATGTAAACCTTTGAGTTGACGGTATAAAACCGTAGTAATATCCTTGACTTAAGGCTAATTTTGTAACAGACAATAAATACTCCCAAGAAGTGGCAGATCATTGTCTTTTAAGACAAAAAGATGTCCAAGTTTCGGATCTGGAAGGTGAAAAAATGTTAAGGCGGAGTTATTTTGTTAATAAAAATGGAAGAAANCTAAAAACTTTTCTTTGAAAAATACCTACTCTCAATCATCCTCACAAATAGCATCTATCAATTAGTGCCATATTTTGAATGTAAAAATGGCCAAATTTTGTAGTGTTAAGCATTGTTTTAAAAACCAAACCGGAGAGCAACCCGCTCTGATAGCCGAGTCACGGTTCAACCGGTCCAACCGGTTGAACCATCGGTTGGACCGATGACATCATCACACGTCATATTGATGTCAGCATATTTTTAAGAAAACCGTCGAACTTAATAAATGATATGTTATTATAAGGGTTTCTTTGGTGTTAACTTAAATGCAAAGGGATTAATTTGCAAGAATTTCAAAACAATTGAAGAACCAACCTTTCTCTCTCTCACACTCACACCCAACACTGCAACTATCAAAATTTTTGTTCGCATTTGAATTTTGTAAAACACTAAAAACAAAATACAACAAGATAACATTTGTGTTATGTGTATGTATTGCTTGGTAGAATGAATGTTAATCCAAATGAAAAGGGAAAATTAGTTAAAAAACTGACTTGTTCATTAGTTGAATGGATGTCACTGATTCACATAAATGCATTTGGATGGTGCATTAAATTAAAATGAGCAGTCAAATTATCCAATTCAGTGAACAAATTATCCATCAAAGCATGAAAGCAATAGATTCATTAAAAAAAAAAAAAAAAAGTGGAAATATCTTTACAAAAGAGAGTGTTGTCGTCGTCGATTCCAACGAAGGAGGGAGGCATCGTCGTCCGTCGTCGTCGTGCAAGGGAGAAGGGAGGTGCATCGTCGCCGAAATCCAATGAGTGAGATGTTGCCTTCGTCGAGCAAGGGAGAAGGGAGGTGCATCGCTGCCGAAATCCAACGAGGGAGGTGCTGCCGTCGTCGAGCAAGGGAGAAGGGAGGTGCATCGTCACTGAAATCCAGCAAGGGAGGTCTTGCCGTCATCAAGCAAGGGAGAAGGGGAGTGCGTTATCATGGAAATCCAGCGAAGAAGATGAGAAGGGGCTGCGACGCTGCGTGACAGAGAAGAAGAGAAGAAAGGCTGCGACGAATCGACAATGAGTGACAGAGAACTGAGAAGAAGAGAAGAATGGGCTGCGTGAGAGAAGACGATGGGCGCGTATTAGGGATTAAAAGTATGGACCGGTTTTTTTGCCGGTCCGGTTGGACCGACGGTTCACTTATATTATACGATTTTCAACCGGTTTAAAAAAGCTTAATACTTATAACGGGTTTAAGAGTAAACCGAACCAGACATGTGACCGGTTCACGGTCCAACCAGTTGAACCGACCGGTCTGGTCCGGCCCGGCTTTTAAAATAGTGGTGTTAAGAGCGCTATGAGTAGGAGGTATGTGTGTCATTCAATACTGTAAACCTTTGAGTTGACGGTATAAAACCGTAGTAATATCCTCGACTTAAGGCTAATTTTGTAACAGACAATAAATACTCCTGACAAGTGGGAGATCATTGTCTTTTAAGACAAAAAGATGGTCCAAGTCTCGGATGTGGAAGGTGAAAAAATGTTGAAGGCAGAGTTATTTTGTTAATAAAAATGGAAGAAAGTTGATACAAATAATGGTTAGAGCATTTCTGAATCATCATTTTGAGTTACATTTTTGTTCCACAATCTTGTGTACTTGGAGAAGCATTAGGGTATGGGTACTCCATTCAACCTGTCAACATTGACTGACTTCTACAACACATTTCAGTCATGGAAACTGAGCTGATGGACCTAGGGCTGAAGCAGTCTTGCGTAACCAGTGAACTATTGAAATGTGTTACAAAGACATTATATTTAATAAGTTTATTTAAGATAAATTAATCTATTGGGACAGGATCCTAATACAAGATATGCAAAGTACTGTTTAATCGGATTCAGTTTGTTAAATTATCTTATGCTATAAATAAAAGAGTAAATGACATATGCCCACTCCCAAGGGTTGACGCAATCCCAGTTTCGTACTCCAAGTTCCATTTATTCCAGATTCTCACCCTTAAAATAATGAAAAATGGTAGATATAAGGCTCAGGGGTAAATTGGTCATTTTGCAAAGGAGGCGCATATAGCAGATCACCGCCCCTAACAAAGCTTCGGCGCACATTAGCCAACATCACCGTCGATGTATTTCCGGCCATTCTTCCACCCAAATCACTTGTCACCACCATTTGACCCTCATCCTTCCCTTTACAAAACCTTACCCTTCACAACCCATTACTCGCCGATCACCAGCCACGACAGCCGCACATGCGATTGGTTTTCGTCGGTCTCCACCAGCGAATGGCCACTAAACGGTTGCTGAGGACATAGGGGTTTTGTAAATTTGGAGACGCTGGTTGCAGTGGTGATGTCCATTGGATTTTTGTCGCCGAAATCGATTGGAATCAACGAAGAACGACAAAAACCTAAGCTTGACGATGTCGTGATTGGAGGGCCCAATGAGTCGAGAACTAGAGGGGTTTTGGACGAGGACGATGGGGAAGGTGGTGGAGGTGACTAGGGGTTCGCCTCCATCGGAAACAACCCAAATCCGGTGAAAACCGAGACGGTGCGCAGTCACTGAGGGTGTAATGAAGTAATTCAAAATAAGATGGTTAATTTTATAATTTTAATAATTTAAGGGTTAAACAATAATTTATAATTTAGGGTTAAGGGCATTATGATAATTGCACCCTCGCTACCCAAAAAATTATTAACAGTGTTATTTTAAAGGTGGGAGTCTAGAATAAATGGAAATTGGGATACCAACTTAGGATTTCATCAAACTTGGGTGGGAATATGTCGTTTACCTAATAAAAAATACTATTCTAAAATCGGATGGCCGTTCACATATTCATTCTAAGATTGGTATGATATCAGACAATAATACCATTATTTTATATATCATAAGAGTAATTATTTGTTATGTTTGAGACGTAATGGAGAAGATTTAATTTTTTATAACAAACAGGGTTTATAACAATTATGTTAAAAAGGACATTTTTCCGTTCAATTAATGGATTATTGAAGAAAAATTGTTAGCAGTTAGTTCAGTGTCTGTATAAAAACATGGTAAGAACTAGTTCTTCATCACAAAAACAATGTTGAGTGCAAAAAGTTCATCATTTTTGTTTTACCTCATCATCTTTTTCTTGTTTTTGTGATTTCAATTATTTGTTTGTCCAAAATCATATGTAGCTGCAAATGTAGTAGTAGGCTATGGTTACTCTATTCAATCTGTCACTCTGACTCCTCTTTCAACTCCTTTTGACTGCCCATCTTGGCCTCATCCAGAATCATCTCTCTATGGACTGATATTCAGAATCTCAATCTCATTGCCAGGTAGGGAATTTCTTTTTGTTTGCCTTATGAGTTCTGCATTGAGTTCTTTATGTTTATGATTATGGTGTTTTTGTCTGCAGCTTTGAAACTAAAGAGCGTTTGAGGGTAGAATAACAGATTCCCAACACCAAAGATGGGAATCCCAGAACAATCATTCCCCGCCAATCTTCTCACCTCTTTCCAGAAACCAATCTAAACTCACCAGTAAACCAGCCGGGGAACTTCAGCCTCTCGAGCCCACCTCAGACTTAGCCTCACACTCTACAACACCACCCCGTTTGGTTTCTCCGTGTGGCGGCGATCCTCTGGGGAAGTCCTTTTGACACCTCTCCCAACACTTCAGATTCAGACACTTTCTTGGTGTTTAAGGATCAATACATTCAGCTTTCATCCATATTACCGAACCAAAACTCTTCTCTTTATGGATTTGGGGAGCATACAAAGAGGTCATTCAAGTTGGTGCCCAATGACACCCTAACTTTGTGGAATGCTGACATAGGAGCTCTAAATCCTGATTTTAATCTCTATGGCTCTCACCCTTTTTACATTGATGTGAGATCCCCTCAAGGCACAACTCATGGTGTTTTGCTCTTTAACAGTAATGGCATGGATGTTGAGTATAATGGTGATAGGATAACTTATAAGGTTATCGGAGGCATCATTGATTTGTATTTTTTTGCTGGACCGTCGCCGGATGCGGTGATACAACAGTACACAGAGTTGATTGGCCGGCCTGCCCCTATGCCATATTGGTCCTTTGGTAAGCACTAAATAATGTGTAAATGTGCATGTTTTGGTTCAATTTTGTTCACTGCTTGAGTAATTATATCAGACTCACTCATTTGGTTACCATTTTTTATTTCCAAATGTGCAGGATTTCATCAGTGTCGATATGGTTACAAAAACGTGTCTGACATTGAGTCTGTAGTTGCTGGCTATGCAAAAGCTGGTATTCCTCTCGAAGTTATGTGGACAGACATCGATTACATGGAGGCATATAAGGATTTCACTCTTGATCCTGTCAACTTTCCAGTGGACCTGATGCAAAAATTTGTAGAGACACTTCACCAAAATGGTCAGAAATATGTGCTCATTCTGGATCCTGGTATGTGGTCTTAGACACCCAATTCACTTATTCACCAAAACAAATTTCATTCTGTCACTGCAATGAGCTTACTGGGGCGCCTTTTTCCACAGGTATCAGTGTGAATAAGACCTCTGGAACTTTCAATAGAGGGATGGAAGCTGATATCTTTATAAAACATGATGGTGTTCCTTATCTGGGCAATGTTTGGCCTGGACCAGTCTACTTCCCTGACTTTGTAAATCCAGCTGCTGAAACATTTTGGCAAGGAGAGATCAAAATATTTCAAGATATTCTCCCTGTCGACGGTCTTTGGCTTGACATGAATGAGATTTCTAACTTCATAACTTCCCCTCCTACCCAATTTTCTACCCTTGATGATCCTCCCTACAAGATAAACAATAGTGGCTTTCGGGGACCAATTAACAAAAATACTGTTCCAGCAACTGCTCTGCATTTTGGAAACATCACAGAATATAATTCGCATAACCTTTATGGACTCCGGGAAGCCAAAGCTACTCATGCTGCCTTGATCAATGTTACTGGTAAAAGGCCATTTATACTCACTAGATCAACTTTCGTAAGCTCCGGAAAGTACACAGCTCATTGGACTGGAGATAATGCTGCAACATGGGATGATTTGGCATACACAATTCCAGCCATTTTAAATTTTGGACTCTTTGGGATTCCAATGGTTGGAGCTGATATTTGTGGCTTTTCTAGAGACACAACTGAAGAACTCTGCCGGCGTTGGATTCAGGTAAAACCAATTTTCAGAATTTTGGAGATTGGATTTGTACATTTAGTTTTTTGTGTCTCTAAAATTGTGTGAATTTTCCAAATGCAGTTAGGTGCCTTTTACCCATTTGCAAGAGATCACTCTGATAAGTCTAAAGCGCGTCAAGAGCTGTATCTTTGGGATTCAGTTGCTGCAACAGCAAGGAAGGTGCTTGGGCTACGATACAGGCTACTCCCTTACTTCTACACATTAATGTATGAGGCACACACAATAGGGACTCCTATTGTAAGACCCCTTTTCTTCTCATTCCCTCAAGATACCGAAACTTATGGAATCAATACACAGTTTCTGATTGGAAAAGGTGTCATGGTGTCACCTGTGCTAAAGCAAGGAGCAGTTTCCGTTGACGCATATTTCCCTGCAGGAAATTGGTTTGATCTCTTCAACTATTCAAATTCGGTGAGTGTAAATCTAGGAAAGCAAGTGACTCTTTCAGCACCATCTGATCACATAAATGTGCATGTTCGAGAAGGTAATATTTTGGCCTTGCAAGGAGAGGCCATGACAACTAAAGAAGCCAGGAAGACGCCATTTGAACTCTTGGTGGCTATCAGCAGCAAGGAAAATAGCACAGGAGAAGTTTTCTTGGATGATGGAGAAGAAGTGGGCATGGGAGAAGAGGAAGGTAAGTGGAGTTTGGTGAGATTTTATGGTGGAATGGTAAAGGACAATGTTACAGTTAGATCAGAAGTTCTGAACGGCAACTTCGCCTTGAGTCAAAGGTGGATCATAAACAAAGTGACTTTTATAGGACTAGAAAATGTAGAGAAAATGAAAGGGTATAATGTGAAGATTACGACAGGAACAGAGCTGATTGAGAACTCGGTTATTAAGGCAAGTGGGAACAATGTTCTTACAGTAGAAATCTCGGAAGAATCACTGCTGATTGGGAAAGAGTTCATGTTGGAACTGAAACTCAACAATTCATCAAAAATCTCTTAAAAGAGCGGACATTATTGGCATACAATTACTGCAATTAGCAGATGTACAATATATCTTATTGAAGATTAGTAATAAATCTGAATTCCGAATAATATTCACTTAGTATTGTGTATAAATTCCTAAAAATCTTAGGATAGTTCACAGTAGTATGTTATTGAGTTTTCCTAATAATTTCAAGTGTATTGTATATAACCTGTGATCATAACAAGCTGAGATGATTGATATTATAAGAACAATTTAACTACAAATAAGATATTACAAGTTCCATAAGGCTTGAAAGCACTCAACCAACCAAATCTTGATTCGGTGTTCGATTTTACGTGCATATAGTTCTCATGTCTATGAGTGTTCAAGGAATAGAAATAGCGTTTTAACCTTATGGTTTTGATTTGCTAACAGTTTACATATATTTACTTTTTTACCAACAAAAGCGTTCTTCAACTCAACACAAAAAAGGTATATTTGACGTTCTAGTATTTGATACCTTTTAAAGATAAAACACTCACTGAGAAAGCAGTGATTATAAACCCAACCTGTGCAGTGACCCGGCTAGGCCATTGGGTCATGGGTGGAGCAGTTTAACTAGTTTGACCGACATGTCAATCCTGCGTCTAAAGGTTTGAAATATAACCGAATCACCTCTAAAAATTATTTTAAGTCTCCATAGGTTTGAAATCTTACAAAAATACTATAAACACCATCGTTGCCATCGGCAAATAAAGCCTATTTCCAGCGATGAAAACACTCCCCATCACCACGAAAATACTCCCCTTAGCCTCCTGACAAAAACTCATCTCACCCCTCCCCCGTTCGCCTCCCTAATCATCGGCAACAGGGAGCTTTTTCCTACGATATTGTTTTGCGATTTTCGGTCGATTCACTCACCGAAAATTGACGCCACTACCACCATTCCACTCACTAGCCATTCCTCTTCAAAATCCCTAACATTCTAGCCTTCAATTCTTCACGGATTGATGTCCTAATTTCTAGGGTTTTGAATGAATAGAAAATTTTGTTACTCGACCCGGTATAGGCGACGAGTCAAGGTTGAACTAGTTCAACAGGCCAGGTCGAGCCAAGTTCCTAATCATTGCTGAGGAGTGAGGAGTGAGGTTAAGTTTTAATTTTATTTTGATGATTAATTTTTATATTATGTATTATAATTAAAGAGTGAATATAAAAACTATTCTAAATCGGATGGCCGTTCACATATTCATTCTAAGATTGGTTATGATATCAAGACAAAATACCATTATTTATATCTAAATAAGTAATTATTTTTAGTTTGTCTTGACGAATGGGAAGATTTAATTTTTTATAACAAACAGGGTTTATACATAATTATGTTAAAAAGGACATTTTTCCGTTCAATATATGGATTATTGAAGAATTGTTCAGTTAGTTCAGTGTCTGTATAAAAAATGGTAAGAACTAGTTCTTCATCACAAACAATGTTGAGTGCAAAAAGTTCATCATTTTTGTTTACCTCTCATCTTTTTTCTTCTTGTTTTTGTGATTTCATTTATTTGTTTGTTCCAAAATCAATGTAGCTGCAAATGAAGTAGAGGCTATGGTTACTCTATTCAATCTGTCACTCTGACTCCTCTTTCAACTCCTCTTTGCTGCCCATCTTGGCCTCATCCATCATCTCTCTATGGACCTGATATTCAGAATCTCAATCTCATTGCCAGGTAGGGAATTTCTTTTTTGTTCGCTTTTATGAGTTCTGCATTGAGTTCTTTATGTTTATGATTATGGTGTTTTGGTCTGCAGCTTGAACTAAAGAGCGTTTGAGGTTAGAAAACAGATTCCCAACACCAAATGGGAAATCCCAGAACAATCATTCCCCGCCAATCTTCTCACCCTTCTTTTCCAACAATCTAACCTCACCGTAAACCAGCCGGGAACTTCAGCCTCTCAGAGCCCACCTCAGACTTAGCCTTCACCCTCACAACACCACCCCGTTTGGTTTCTCCGTGTGGCGGCGATCCTCTGGGGAAGTCCTTTTTGACACCTCTCCCAACACTCAGATTCAGACACTTCTTGGTGTTTAAGGATCAATACATTCAGCTTTCATCCATTAACCGAACCAAACCTCTTCTCTTTATGGATTTGGGGAGCATACAAAGAGTCATTCAAGTTGGTGCCCAATGACACCCTAACTTTGTGGAATTGCTACATAGGAGCTCTAAATCCTGATTTTAATCTCTATGGCTCTCACCCTTTTTACATTGATGTGAGATCCCCTCAAGGCACAACTCATGGTGTTTTGCTCTTTAACAGTAATGGCATGGATGTTAGTATAATGGTGATAGGAACTTATAAGTTTATCGGACATCATTGATTTGTATTTTTTTGCTGGACCGTCGCCGGATGCGGTGATACAACAGTACCCAGAGTTGATTGGCCGCCCTGCCCCATGCCATATTGGTCCTTTGGTAAGCACTAATAATGTGTAAATGTGCATGTTTTGGTTCAATTTTGTTCACTGCTTGAGTAATTATACAGACTCACTCATTTGGTTACCATTTTTTATTTCCAAATGTGCAGATTCATCAGTGTCGATATGGTTACAAAAACTGTCTGACATTGATCTGTAGTTGCTGGCTATGCAAAAGCTGGTATTCCTCTCGAAGTTATGTGGACAGACATCGATTACATGGAGGCATATAAGGATTTCACTCTTGATCCTGTCAACTTTCCAGTGGACCTGATGCAAAATTTGTAGAGACACTTCACCAAAATGGTCAGAAATATGTGCTCATTCTGGATCCTGGTATGTGGTTTTAGACACCCAATTCACTTATTCACCAACAAATTTCATTCTGTCACTGCAATGAGCTTACTGGGGCGCCTTTTTCCACAGGTATCGTGTGAATAAGACCTCTGGAACTTTCAATAGGGGATGAAGCTGATCTTTATAAACATGATGTGTGTCCTTATCTGGGCAATGTTTGGCCTGGACCAGTCTACTTCCCTGACTTTGTAAATCCAGCTGCTGAAACATTTTGGCAAGGAGAGATCAAAAATATTTCAAGATATTCTCCCTGTCGACGGTCTTTGGCTTGACATGAATGAGATTTCTAACTTCAAACTTCCCCTCCTACCCATTTTCTACCCTTGATGATCCTCCTACAAGATAAACAATAGTGGCTTTCGGGGACCGATCCTAATACAAGATATGCAAAGTACTGTTTAATCGGATTCAGTTTGTTAAATTATCTTATGCTATAAATAAAAGAGTAAATGACATATTCCCACCCAAGGGTTGACGCAATCCCAGTTTCGTACTCCAAGTTCCATTTATTCCAGATTCTCACCCTTAAAATAATGAAAAATGGTTAGATATAACGGCTCAGGGGTAAATTGGTCATTTTGCAAAGGAGGCGCATATTAGCAGATCACCGCCCCTAACAAAGCTTCGGCGCACATTAGCCAACATCACCGTCGATGTTTATTTTCCGGCCATTCTTCCACCCAAATCACCCTTGTCACCACCATTTGAACCCTCATCCTTCCCTTTACAAAACCTTACCCTTCACAATCCCTCATTACTCGCCGATCACCAGCCACGACAGCCGCCACATGCGATTGGTTTTCGTCGGTCTCCACCAGCGAATGGCCACTAAACGGTTGCTGAGGACATAGGGGTTTTGTAAATTTGGAGACGCTGGTTGCAGTGGTGATGTCCAATTGGATTTTTGTCGCCGAAATCGATTGGAATCCAACGAAGAACGACAAAAACCTAAGCTTGACGATGTCAGTGATTGGAGGGCCCAATGAGTCGAGAACTAGAGGGGTTTTGGACGATGGACGATGGGGAAGGTGGTGGAGGTGACTAGGGGGTTCGCCTCCATCGGAAACAACCCAAATCCGGTGAAAACCGAGACGGTGCGCAGTCACTGAGGGTGTAATTGAAGTAATTTCAAAATAAGATGGTTAATTTTATAATTTTAATAATTTAAGGGTTAAAACATAATTTATTAATTTAGGGTTAAGGGCATTATGATAATTGCACCCTCGCTACCCAAAAAATTATTAACAGTGTTATTTTAAAGGTGGGAGTCTAGAATAAATGGAAATTGGGATACCAACTTAGGATTTCATCAAACCTTGGGTGGGAATATGTCGTTTACTCTAAATAAAAATACTATTCTAAAATCGGATGGCCGTTCACATATTCATTCTAAANTTTTATATTAAAGCATATATATATTTTTATTTAGAACATAATCCTCTTATTTTATTATTGACAAAATAGAAAAAAGAAAAATATTTTTAAATCTTTTCGGATTAGGAGGCAGTTATTTTGCTTAAAAAAAAAAACAAAAAACAAAAAACAACTTTTGTGTGAGCCGTAAAGTAAGTTAGAGAATGACTTGCCAAAGCAAATGTGAGTTACACCTCCTCACAAGATTCCACATTTTTTTTTTTTTTCGGAAGCTTTAGTCATTCTTATATTGTATTTCGAACCCTAATTTGATTGACAACCCTAGTGCTGTATATATCGCATTCAACGAGCACAACCTTGATGAGCTAACAGTAGGAGAGCTCGGTTTAGGATTGGATGTAACCCTGATTGACAGCAGAGGAGCAAAACTTTGGACTTCCAACCCTATATGATAGCAGATGCTCTGTATATTGTATTTGGCGAGCACAAACACGACAAGCTAAGTGTTTAAAGTCGTGAATGACAAGTAGAGTTCGAAATACATTTTCATAGCACTGATCATGATTTGGACCAAGTCGCTGGACCTTTGTGAAACGATCATGTCAGGTTGCTTGTGTAATTCGCGAAGACCCATGTCACGATCTACACTCAGTTCGCTGGTCGAGTCAGACTATCAGACTCACGTCGTTTGTAACAGTGTGGCTCAAGACAGGTCAAGTCGCGGCATAATCATGAAGTTCTCAAGATTCAATCTTTGAACCTTAAGAACTGAGAAGCTCCTGTTATGCCTAAAAAATCAGGGCTGATGTTAGCTTACGTCAATTAGAGTTTAAGAAGGCTTTGTATCGCCTAAGAGTTGGCACGTCGCTCCATGATAGAAAGAATATGGCTGTCATCAACTTGGTAGATTCATGTTTTGTCTATGAGTGATAAAGGGCCATACACCTGTCCAAGCCCTAGGTAATTTGAGGATATTTCCTAAGTTATCACCAATGGGAGGCAAGGAAGGACTTGAACAGCACCTACCCACTTGTAGATTTGTAATCATTACCTTGAATTCTTCTACTATAAATAGAGGACTTCCCCTCTCATTTTCAGGATTCTGATCCTGAACCCTCATTGTGATTGTAATCTTTATTTTCAGAGCAAAGATAACTCACTAGAAAGAGGCTAACTTAATATTATCTATGAATACTCAGTTATTGTATTTCTGCTCACTATTCACTATACGCGACCTCTTGTAATCTCTCATTTATAAAAAAAACAGTGGATGTAGGATTCGCTTTAGGCATCCGAACCACTTAAAAAATCATATATCTCATTTATTATTTAGTCTTTGTATCTAATCTTAATCATCACGTATAATTTCTGAAAACAGCTTAGCACTTTACACGTTCAAGTCGTTAGTATCAAAATCACGCATCAACAACATATATATATATATATCTTTTCCTTTATTTAGCAGGAATCCAGATATATGTTATATTCCTATTTTCCTTTATTTACCAGGAATCCATATTTACTTTCTTTATTTTGTTTACCTAGTATTTATTTAAATTTCTTTCTAATTTTAATTTTGTTTTTACTAATATGTTAGAGTTTCTTCAATAAAGTGTTATTTATATTTGTTATGCCTAAAAAATCATGGCCGACGAAAGCTTACATCAACAAACACCAATCAGAGTTTCGGAAAGATTTGCGCCATCCATGAGCTGCCACATCACCCCAAGACAAAGAGGATACAGGTGTCACCAACCCAGCAGATTCAAGTTTTGTCTACAAGTGAATGGGGATCCGTACATCTGTTCATGCCCCAAACAATTTGAGGATGTTTCTTAAGTTATCAGCCAATGGGAGGGAAGAAAGGACTTGCAGACACCTACCCACTTATAGACTTGTAATCATTACTCCAACTGAGTTGGGTGTTAAATATTATGATGTTGGTTTTAGTGATAGGAATAGGATAATTCTTTAGAGAAAACTAGTAAATAAATGATTCAAAAATTAGTAATGTGACATAATTTTATACAAATTCTATTGTTATTAAAAACCAGTTTCGAATGATGGGTTAGAGTTAGAGCCTTTTTTGAAGTGTAGTGCATAAAGCTGTGATGAACAATTTAATAATTTAATTACAAATAGATATTAGAAGCAGTTGAAAGGTCTCAGATGGACCAAGCATAAGAGAAGCAAATAATAAATCCTGACTCGGTGTTCCCTTGTATAGCTGTAGCTTTTTCAATTTGTTTTTAGTTATCAATAATGCTACGACGCGATGCTGATTGTTCTTTGTAAGAAGTTTTTAAAACCTCACTAATCAGCCTAGTTCATAATGAATGACGTATCCCAGATGGAACATAAAATCTCCTCCTTTCTACTAAACCACACAGGGCTGCTGATACTAACAATCTCCTTTCTACTAAACCATATGGGAGTCCCAACTAATTTACTGGGCTCCTGATACTAACAATCATACTTTTCCTAAATATAGGAATCAACTATGAAATAACCACTCTTCCATGAGTTGAAAGAATTTATCAGGATTTTCTTAACCTAGTCTGTCTCAATTTTGCACCATGTTCATCATAAAAAATAGAATTAGAATTCATACTCGCTTTCCCATCTACATGCAAATTCATCAGAAAAAATTTATTATGGAGAAACAAGCTACCTGTTTATTTCTGTCTTGCACAAACCAACTTATAAGTACACAATATGACGACATCACCAACAGAATGTACACACCTCAACTTTTTCAAGACACATGAAATATTCCTCGTTGATGCAATATAACACATTCTGGATTCTTAGTGTATAGAAATTATGCAGAAAATTTCTCTCTGTCATGAGGACGTGCATAATCAATATCTGGGCCACGAGGAATGATCCCAAAAGGATTGATCGTAGGATGGCTTCCATAGTAATGTCGTTTGATGTGTTGCATATTGACTGTGCTTGACATGCCTGGGATCTGATATATGTCTTTTGTGTAATTGAACAAATTTGGATACTCTCGTAACACTTTCTTGTTGCACTTGAAGTGAACTACATAAACCTGTGATCACAAAAAGCTCAAATAGTTAAGATATAAGAACAATTTAAATACATAACGCCTGAAAGCACTCAACCAAGCCTAAGTGAAGCAATAAGATGCGGGATAAAAATCCTGATTCGCTGTTCTATTTTACATGCTTGTAGTTTTTGTGAACTTAGGAGATGTAAGATATTAGCAGCTGCCTCAATTTCAGGTGTCAACCCTTTCCAGTCTCTACATCCAGAAATATAAGCAACCCTTTTCATGCTTATGCGTGTTTGGGGAAGTAGAAATCAGTACTGTTTAACAAGCCAGAAAACAGAAGAGGATGCCAGTTACGGGTTACCTAATGTCCCGTCTTTGCCAGAATAACACAAATATCACTGCCCAAACTGCTCTAGACATTTGGGTATATCATTGGAAGATAAGGGATGAGCTAGACGAATATAACATAAACTTTAATATATTACAGCAAAGCTTTCACATATGCTCCTCTACGTAGTTCAGTATCAGGGAAAAGAGATAATAATAAAATTCGAAGAAACCATCTACAACCGTCGATTCCAAAGTGCAAATGAAATGAGGGAACTCAAGAGTATTTTTAATGACCATATATATAAACAATTTCTCATGAGTCACGGTTATCTTGTTATGTACCTCAATGTTGTTGCACCATTTTGAACAAGTAGATTTTACAACAAATCCTATTTTGAACACCAAACCAATTCAGCTTAAAATTAGATTATACAACTGTTAGCATATATCTCCAATAACGCTAGCCAGGGTACAAAGTTATTAATATACCACTCAGCTGCCTAAACAAATCATGCTGTGAAAAGGCAAACCAGACGAGAAAATTTAAACTGTTACATTACATGCTGAAATCTAATATGTATACCTCATCAAATCTTATAAGGGTGACAAATAACCGAATATCTGCTTCTGTCAGCCTATTTCCACATATGAACCGCTGCTTGCCAAGTATTGCTTCACATTTGTCCAGGGCATCATACAATTGTTTCACAGCCTGCAGAACAGATCAATGAAGATTTTTAGACAGCATAGCAAAAGATTAAGATATCAATAATAAAATGGTTTTAAGACCTGAATACTACTGTAGGATGAAAATTCCTTACTTCGTCATAGGGCTCCTGCTTTGTTGCAAACCCACATTTGTAAACACCATTGTTTATCCTATTATATATCCATTCGTTAGTCTCATCAATTTGATGTCGCAGGTCAGCAGGATAAAAATCCAGAGCAGCGTTTTCCGCTATATCATTGAATTCAGTATTAAACATGCGAATTATCTCCGAACTCTCATTATTCACAATCGTCTTCAGCTTCTTATCCCATAGAACCTATTATAAAACAAAATCATTCACACAAATTGAACAATTAAAACATTGAAAACAATAACCAAAAGAACGGAAACAGTCCACATACAGGAACTGTAAACTTCCCGGAGTAGTTTGTACTTGCAAGCTCATACAGATCTCTTATACTTTTGGCTCCATTCAAAGGGTCAAGTTCAGCTCCTGGTTCCTCCGAATTCGTAGCCGGAAAAACCCATCCTCTATGTTCATCACCTTCCTTTGTTTTCTCCCATATCGGTTTAACCGACTGTGAAAACAAATCAACAAACAATCTTTACATGATCATAACATAGAGTTTTACCAACAAACAAACTCGTTACGATAACATTGCAAGATTCACAAACCGTGAAAGAAATAGCTTTCTCAAGTCCTTTAATCTTCAAGAATGAAAGGCACCTACAGGCCCAAGGACAAGCATATGAAATATACAAATGATACCTCCCGGATTCAGCAGGAAACTGGGAACTGGGGTCTCTTGAAATAGAGTTACGAAATGTTGAAGCAGTTCTAACAAACGACCCAGAATCTGAAACTTCATCTAGCGCAGAACGAGCCATTGGCAGAGTATGCTAAAGAACATAAATTTATATCAGAAATCAGTAAAGTTTTTATTTTTCATGAATAAATATAAGTTTTTCGCCGAATTAGTTCATATAGAGAGCACAAACTAGTCAAACAAAACAAAACCCAGATCAAGAAACCAGTTGATTTAAAGGACTAAACAATTAAACGAAGCAAAGATTGGTAAAAAAAAAAAAAATTCTGAAAATGGTTAATCACCTTGAAAGAGAATTGAGAAAGAGTGAAGGAGGTCCTGGCTAGGTGGGTTTTCTTACAGAAAGTGATCATAACTCGTCATATACATATAACATATTGTAATAGGCTTGTGTTTTAACAGTTTGACATTTTTGGCCTTGCTGACTTAGCTCTTTAACAAAATTGGCAACTGGGTTCATGTTTTGGTACGAAGACAACGTCATTAAGTGTGTCATTTAGATGTCATAACTACAACTGCACATTTAGCCCATCAATAACTTTACAAATAAATTCATTTTAAAAAATATTGTTGGTTTGACTTATAATATAGATGTTAAACACACACAAAAAAACAGAAAATGACCATTTTACTTTGTTAGTCGTAAAAAGACAACTCTTTCAATGGTAAGAGAGTAATTTTTCAGGCCCAAAAAGTCCATGGATCTGACCAACCATGTATGGTTGAACCTAATTCGGCCTGCGCCCGTATTTTTATGGGCCGTTTCACATAACAGCAGAGCAACTATTAGACTTAGCCCATTGTATTTGGAGGCAAATATTACCTACACCCCATTAATGATATCTTTATTATAAATAAATAAATAAATAACAAGCACAGGTATATGCATCATAAGATGAATCGAAGTATCCATCATATACTTTTTCATAAGTTTTTGTGTTGCTTACTTCATCATCTTCTCTCCTGCTCTTTCTGAGTTTGACAAAATGTACATATATATTCAACATGAAGAGTTGAGGCATTTCTTTATTTTAGTTTTTAAGATATATGATATTAGAGGATATTTCTATATGCAAGTAGTTTATAAATTATTTAAATATTAGTAATGTGACATAATTTTATAAAAAATCTATTGTTATTGAATGATGGGTTAGAGTTAGAGTGATTCATAAATCTGGTTCACCTAAATTATTACCGCAGAAGGCTAGCTCTCTTTTTCTGTCCTCCACAAACCAAATTATGGGAATGAATGATACATGCCATAAGGATTTATAGTAAGATGACTTCTATAGTAATTAATGTGTTGCATATCGACTCTGCTCTTTATGCCACCGACGATCTGATATATATCTGTTATTTTATTTTTTATTTTTTGGTGATTTAACAAATTCGGATACTATTTTAAGAGTTTCTTGTTGCAGTATTGCATAAACCTGTGATCATAACAAGTTCAATGTCAGATGATTGGGAACAATTTAATTACACCTTCTCACAAGATTCCACACATTTTTCAGTTTAAGAAGCTTTAGACATTGTATTTTTTACTTTACATCAACTCTAAGTTTACTTAAAATTTTCATTTAAAACACCTTTTGGAGATTTATTTTCATTAGCAATGCACAGTAGCATTGATCATTCATTCATTTGTATCGAGTTTTAAAGACCTCAATAATCAGTCTTACACTTTCTAGTTCATAATGAATGAAATGAACCCCCAGATGAAGAAAATATCTCCTCTCCCTTTTACTAAACCATGGGGGAGCCCGGAGTAGTTTACCCTCTCCTGATACTAGCAGTCATACTTGGCTAAATACAGAAATCAAAGAATCGCTCTTCCATGAGTTAAAAGAGTTTATCAGGATTCTCTTCTCATAGCCTATCTGATAGGAACCCACTCCAATAACTCAATAATTTGGGCTGGGCCATGGGTCTTTCATGGGCTTGGGTAGAACTCTCCTTAGAAAACCGGCTTGCCAAGGGAGGGTGCCCAAGCCTTTATAACCCACATGCCCACCCTTTTTCCTTTCAATGTGGGATCCCAACACTATCTCAAATTTTGCACCAAGTTTATTATAAAAGAATTATATTCTCCTTCCCATACTTGGCTAAATGCTAAAACGAAGCTCATCAGAACAATTTTATTCTGGAGAAAAAAGATAGCTGTTTATTTCAGTCTTGCACAAACCAACTTATAAGTACAAAATATGACAACATCACAAACAGAATGTACACACCTCAACTTTTCCAAGACACATGAAATATTCCTCATTGATGCTATATAACACATTCTGGATTCTTGGTGTATAGATTATGCAGAAAACTTCTCTGTGTCATGAGTGCATGAATAATCAATATCCCGGCCACGAGGAATGATCCCAAAATGATTGATAAAAGGATGGCTTCCATAGTAATGTCGTTTGATGTGTTGCATATTGACTGTGCTTGACATGCCAGGGATCTGATATATGTCTTTCGTGTAATTGAATAAATTTGGATACTCTCGTAACAGTTTCTTGTTGCACTTGAAGTATACTACATAAACCTGTGATCACAACAAGCTCAAATAGTTAAGATTATAAGAACAATTTAACTACATAATGCTTGGAAGCACTCAACCAAGCATAAGTGAAAGCAATGAGATACTGGCTAAAAAATCCTGATTCGGTGTTTGCTTTTACATGGCCATAGTTTTTGTGAGCTTAGGAGATGTAAGATGTTAGCAGCTGCCTCATTTTCAGCTGTAAGCCTTACCACTCTTTACATCCAGAAATATAGACAGTCCTTTTCATGTTTTTGAATGTTTGGGGAAGTAGAAATCTCAACTGTTTAACAACCCAAAAAATGGAAGAGAACACCAATTACCTCATGTCCCGACTTTGCCAGAAAAACACAAACATCACTGCCCAAACTACTCTAGACCTTTTGGGCATATCATTGGAAGAAAAAGGATGAGCCAAATGAATATATAACATAAACTTTAATATTTTACAGCAAGCTTTCACATATGCCCCTCTAATTAGTTCAGTATAAGGGAAAAAAGAGAATAAACTTCGAAGAAACCATCTACAACCATCAATTCCAAATTGCAAATGAGGGAATTCAAGAATATTTGCAAGGACCATGTATTACAATGATTTCTCGTGGGTCACGGTAATCTTGATATGTACCAAAATGTTGTTGCACTATTTGGAACAAGTGGATTTTACTACAAACCCTATTTCGAACACCAACACTGACCAATTCAGCTTTAAAATCAGATTCTACAACTGTTAGAATATATCTCCATTAATGCTAGCCAGGGTTCAAAGCTAATAACATACCTCTAAGCTATCTAAAAAAATCATGCGGTGAAAAGGTAAAACAGACGAGAAAACTGAAAACTTGTATATTACATGCTGAAATCTAATATGTATACCTCATCAAATCTTATAAGGGTGACAAATAACCGAATATCTGTTTCAGTCAACCTGTTTCCACATATGTATCACTGCTTGCCAAGTATCTCTTCACATTTGTACAGGCAATCATACAATTGTTTCACAGCCTGCAGAACAGATCAATGAAGATTTCTTAGACCGCATAGCAAATGATAAGGATATCAATAATAAAATGGTTTTAAGACCTGAATACTACAGTAGGATGAAAATTCCTGACTTCGTCATAGGGCTCTTGCTTCGTTGCAAACCCACATTTGTAAACACCATTGTTTATCCCATTATATATCCATTCATTAGTCTCATCAATTTGATCTCACAGGTCAGCAAGACAAAAATCCTGAGCAGGGTTTTCCGATATATCATTGAATTCAGTATTAAACATGCGAATTATGTCCGAACTCTCATTATTAACAATTGTCTTCAGCTTCTTATCCCATAGAACCTATTATAAAACAAAATCATTCACACAACTTGAACAATTCAAGCATAGAAAACAAAAACCAAAAGAAGGAAACAGTCAGCATACAGGAACCGTGAACCTCCTGGAGTAGTTTGTACTTGCAAGCTCATACAGATCTCTTATACTTTTGGCTCCATTCAAAGGGTCAGGTTCAACTCCTGGTTCCTCCGAATTCATAGCCGGAAAAACCCATCCTCTATGTTCATCACCTTCCTTTGTTTTCTCCCATATCGGTTTAACCGACTGCGAAAACAAATCAACAAACAATCTTTACATGATCATAACATAGAGTTTTACTAGTAAACAAACTTGTTAAATACGTAACACCATACCGTGAAAGTAATGGCTTTCTTAAGTCCTTTAATCTTCAAGAATGAAAGGCACCTACAGGCCCAAGGACAAGCATATCAAATATACAAAAGATACCGCCCGGATTCAGCAGGAAACTGGGAACTGGGGTCTCTTGAAATAGAGTTACGAAATGTTGAAGCAGGTCTAACAAAAGACCCAGAATCTGAAACTTCATCTAGCGCAGAACAAGCCATTTGTAGAGTATGCTAAAGAACATAAATTCAGAGCAGAAATTAGTAAAGTTGTGATTTTTCAGGCATAAACATAAGTCTTTCACTCATTAGTTCACATAGAGAGCACAAACTAATCAAACAAAACACAACCCAGATCAAGAAATCAGTTGATTCAAAGAACTAACAATTAAACAAAGCAAAGATAAGTAAAAATGAATATGAAAATGGTTGATTACCTTGAAAGAGAAGAGAGAAAGAGTAAAGGGAGCTCTGGATAAGAGGGTTTTATTACAGAAAGTGATCATAACTCATCACATTGTAATGGTTTTTTGTTTTATAATTGTTTTAATAACATGTTTGGTGTTGCTGACTTAGCTTTTTAGAAAATAAAATAAAAAGAGGCAACTGGGTTCTGGTTTTGGAGAAGTGATAAACGTCATTAAGTCATTTAAATGTCATAGACACTACACATTTAGTTTAGCCCTCCATATTTAAATTTCTTATGTCAAAATAGTCGTTAAACTATGAGATTTGTAATATTTTTAAGGTCAATTATAAGTTAAGATAATTATATTAATTGAATCTGGAGGTTAAATATCATTGAAGAGAACCCATTAACTAGTTAAATGTTGAGGGTATTATTTGAGACAAATTTCATAACTTGCTTCCCACCTAGCAATGCTATTTTGTGCATTGTTGAGATACCATTGTTACGTATTTATCCTTTTTTGCTACAAAGTTGGTGCTTTGTTATAAGACGAATTTCGTGTTGTGAAATGAAACTATAGGAGGGAGTAAATGTTTAATTGGGTTTATAAGGCCCAAAAATTCCATGGATGTGACAATGGCTTTGAGCTAATTGGACTTCTGATAGTACGTATTTATCTCATGGTCTGCTTTAAGTAGAAGCCCAAAAGCTGTTAGACTTAGCCCATTACACCCCTTATATTTATGATAACATCGTGGAATCATCTTTAATTATAAATAAATAAATAAATAATTATT